CCCAAGGCGGGGCCGCCAGTCACCTGTCATCCAGTGAGCCTCTGGTGGTTACTGAAAATTCTTTGCTCCTACGCACTGCGGTCCCGCCACGCTCCCACCTGCTGCTGGTGTCAGCCCTGCTTGCACCCGCTACCAGCACCAGCCCCGATCACTCGGCACTGTCAGCAGGTGCGAGCGGCGGCTGCCAGCCCCAATCACCCCTGAGGGCTTCTCCACCTCCCCCTGCTCCTGAGGGGCAATCAGGGCAGCAGCCGCAGCTCGAACTCACTGACAATACCGGCCCTGCTCACCCCTGCTCACCCCTGCTCACACCTGCTCCTGGCGCCGGCCCCAATTGCTCCGCGTCATCAGCAGGTGTGAGTGGGGCCGGCACTGTCAGCGCATGGGAGCGGGGCTGCCGGCAGACAGAGGACCAGGGGCCAAGGCAGGAGGAGCTGGGTGGGGGCATGAAGGATGGGCCAAGTCCTGCCTCTGTGCCCACCACAGCCTTGTGGTCCACAGTTCCTTTCAAGGTGCACGAATTCGTGCACTGAGCCCCTAGTAAACTAAATAAAGAGGTGCATATATCAGAGCCTGCTGAAGGGTTTAGGGCCTAGAAGTGAGAAGCCACTTCATTTTCCCAAACAACAATAGCCTGATACCTCAGGGTCAGAAAGGAGAAATAACACTGAGTAGAAAGGAAACAAAGGGAAAGGCGTAAACAAAGAGAAAATGTGAATAAGGCAGAAGCCTGTTCAAGAATTCTAGCAAATCCATGGGAAATGAAAGTAGGTAGTTTAGAAAAAAATGAAAGCATTGAAAACTGGCAGGCTGGAGGGTTTCCATTCCAAGAAACTTTATACAAAATGGTAGTTTACTCACCAATATTGGCAGGAAAGGGAACTTCATGCACAGCTGGGTCAAGATTGATCACATAAGGCGGAGAGCCTTGGCTATGCAGATGTCCTGTGAGCCTCTGCAGAGATGTGAGGTGCGGGATGGAGACAAAGAGGGCATGATAAGAGGACAAAGGACATTTCCCTCTATCTGAAATACTCACCTCCAACATTCAACTCTCAGTTGAAATGCAACCTTTCTTTATTACCCATTTAACAGAGCCTCCTCTTCCCTCCATCACTTATTTACTTGCTTTGTGTGGGGTTTTTATCCTATCACCTCCAATAAACCAGTAGTTCCATGAATGCAGAACCTTGTCAACCTCATTTTCACTGTATCCCCATTGCCTGTGTTTGACTCAAAATGATGACAGTAACCAGGCAGCAAATGCTCCGAAGAATGAAAGTTTTGCAGTTTTACTTATGCATTTGGAATTAAGGAGATGACATAAAGTTGGAGAAAGAAAGGCGGAAAGTGGATGGTTAATAAGATTACATGCTCTCTTGAAAAAGAGGCATTTCAAAGGTGAGTTAACCCAGATGCGCACACACAAAAAAATGAACAGGACTTGCTTAGAGCACATGTAAACATTTTACCAAAGAAGTTATATGCTGGGGTGTGACTACCCACCAAGACCTGCCCAGTTAAGAATTTATGATCCATATCATCTCACTCATATGTGGAATGTAATGAACAAAATAAACAAAATAGAAACAGGCTCATAGATAGAGAACAGACTGACAACTGTCAGAGGAGAGGTAGGGTTGCAGTGCTGGGTGAAAAAGGTGAAGAGGTTAAACGAAGAACAAAACTCACAGGCACAGACAACAGCACGGCGATTGCCAGAGGGGAAGAAGGGCACGGGTTGGTAGAAGAGGGTAAAGGGGGGATAAATGGAGAAGGAAGGAGACCTGACGGGGTGGAGAACACGATACAATATACAGATGGTGTAATATAGACTGGACACCTGAAACCTATGTGATTTTATTGACCAATTGCACCCCAACAAATTCAATTAAAAACTAATTTATGATCCAATCACCCTGTGAGGTTAGAAATAGAAACAGGCTCATAGATAGAGAACAGACTGACAACTCTCAGAGGAGAGGTGGCGTTGCAGTTATTACACTTTATTCCAGCACCCCTTTTCTGTTCACACAAGAAATACCTAATTCTTTAGCCATCTATACCCAAAGCCTGTGTGGTAGCACTCTGCACTCTATGAATCGCCAGTTACTTGTAAGCCTTTGCCTTCAAGTCAGCAATTTTGCCGGCAGGACAACCGCAGCACCACGTGGTAAGCGGCACCAGGTATGCACTCCAGGCGCCTTGCGGTCTCGCCAGGACCCCCGGAAGCCACGCGCCGGCCCTCCCGCTCCTCGGGAAGCCCTCCCCTCCCTTTCCCGGCCTCCCACCGCCTCTCGCGCACACCTGCTTCGCCCGCGCCATGTACCTCACCTGTACGAAGGTGGTTTTCCCAGACCCCGCCATCCCCAACACCAACAGACACACTGGGGGCCGAGGACCCCCGGACGCCTGAGGCTCGGCTGCAGCCGCGGGCGCCGCCATCTTCCTCCTGGCTCCGCCCACTCGACCATCGAGACGTCACGTGTCTAGAGAGACTTCCGCCGCGGCGACCGGGAGAGAGAATGGGACTGGCTCCGACCGCTCAGAAGAGCGTCCTCCGGTCCCGACCAGGCTCGGGAGCCAACCGGGGGCCTTGCCGGGGGAGTGGGGGCGCTGGGAGGACTGGAGCGAGCGAACCGGAAGAAGAGCTCGCCGTCGCAGGGCCTGGGTTCGCAGGAGAACCGGACGAGATGAGATCCCCAGAGCAGGGCTCCCACGATGCAAAAAAGAGAGTGCGTTTCACTTCCGGCCCCCAAAGGAGCCAGGACTAGAGCCCGAGAACCGACTGCTAGGGCTGAGCCGGGCGAGGGGGTTAAGCAGCTCAGGGAGGTGGTTGTGGGGGGACCGGCCTGGACTGGAGCGGGATGCGAACCTAGGGGTTGCCGGGCGGTGCAGAGGCCCGTTGAACCGAGACACTTGGCTCACGGGGACGCCGTCCCCGCCTGGCGACACCCCTGACACTAGTCCTAGTCCCTCTCGGTGGACTTATACCAACGCCCTGACACTAGTCCTAGTCCCTCTCGGTGGACTTATACCAACGCCCGGGGGGTGGACGCTAGGATTCCCGGAGCAGGTAGGTACTGAGGGGCGTTTCCCTGCACGGAAGCGTCCTCGGAAACCGAAAAGGTGGTGCAGGAGCTGAGACATGTATTCCTGCTCCTGACCTCCGAGTCTGTTCTGGGCCCTTTGTAGCCAGCTGTTCACCAAGTCATAGATAAATGTGGGTTTCACACCGACCCCGGCTCTGCCACTTGCCAGCAGTGTAAATCGTGGCTAAGTTACTTAGATGCTCCAAACCTTTCTTCTCTTTAAAATTGAGATATCTCATAGGGGTGGTAGTGAATGCATATTGTAAATTGTAAACTACAGTCCTTCACCTTCACCCCTACCTGTATGCCCGGTGCCTCGCCATAAGTGCTCAAAAATATTTTCTTTTGTGAATTAAAGTATAATGATGCGTTTTTTGTTTCCTAAATTTTCGTTAAGAATTGATAGGGGAATGTTTCACTTGTTCTTCCTTCATGTTTACTGAGGACTCCAACAGTACTAATACCCCTACGTGGTATCTTAGTTTAATAATTTTTTGAAGCCAGGGAAGCCCCCTCCCCCCCCCAAAAAAAAAGGGCCGCGATGGGGCTTTTAAAAAGGACAGTGGTTAGCTGGTTTGGCTCAGTGGATAGTGGTCCTGCGGACTGAAGAATCCCAGGTTTGATTTCAGTCATGGGCACAGGTTGCCGACTGGAGCCCCATTCTCATCATTAATGTTTCTCTCTCTCTCCCTCTCCCTTCCTCTCTGAAATCAATTTTTTTTAAAATTTCTTTATTGGTTAAGGTATTACAAATGTGTCCTCATCCCCTCATTAACCCCCAACCTCCTCCCC